TTAAGTTCTCCCTGTCACTCTCAGGCCTTAGATCAACTGCAACTGAAAACTCCTCTGAAGCATGATTTTGGTGAAAATAAAGTAATCAGAGAGTCACACTGAGCTGTATCACAAATGAATGTGAGTTAAGGAGGTGTTACTTGACATCTTCCAAGATCATGGTACATCAGCTGTTATAAAATACATTTTACTGTAAAAGGTAATCACAAATATTCCTTGTACTTAATGTTAACTGCAATCATTTGATTCTTACAGTAAATATTCAAATCCACCCTGGATCCTGCCACAAAACTGCAGTCCCTCCTGCCTTGTGCAGCCTAGCCTCCTGTCTCCAGCATCCCATTGAAACTAAAGGAGAACCTAAGCAAACCCACTTAAAGCTCACAGGGTGTGAGCTCATGCAGGTGTAGCTGAGCATGGTCTCGGGGAGTGTACGCAGACCAGGGATATGGTAAGGGGACCTCATTTGCTTGACTGATGTAGGAGATGAGTGTGGTCCATCCTTTGGAGCTGACAGTTAGAAAATCTCCATCAGATGCCTTCAGATTGATTAAATTTGATCTTGAAAACAGACACAAGAGCACCCTGGCACTGTGGTGCATTCAGTTTAGAAATACACTTCAAATACGAGGAGAACAGTTAGAAAAGAGGCTATATTATTTAATTCTATTTCCCACAGTGGGACTTTCAGGAATCTTCATTTCCCTGAAAACTATGGCCATGTGCCGCACTGGGGTTGACCAACCGACAAGAGGGAGAGTGAGCGAATCCCCCAAAACAGAAGCGCCTGTTAAAGCAAAGCAGGAAGATAGATGCCAATAAGTGCACACAGCCCTGTGAAATCAGTGGTATGCTAATACAAGTTTGGGGACTGCAGATCAATGGTACAGGAGGAACACTTTCATTTGCATTTTTACTGCCAGTGGCACTCAAACTGAGAGTAACTGATTCCTTTTGAGCAGAGGAGGAAGCTCAGAGAGCAAGAGATCCACTTGGCAATTTTTGAAATTTCAGGGGAAAAGTCTGCTTTCATTTCGTACATGGAAAATGAAAATAAAATTCTCTTTGGGCATTTTGCAAAGGGAACTTCTGTCAGCACAGCCATCCTCTGTTGAAACCAGTGGATTATAGTCTTCCTCCCTCCCTCTCTGTCTTTCTGTCACTCTGTGACTACAGGGAGATGGTGCAGAAATGGCTGCAGTGCACTGCAGACTCTTGTGGTGTCCTGAGTGTCCAGCCAGGGCCTGACCAGACCATGTTGAGGCTTCTTCCAGTGCTCCTTCTTCGTGGAAATCAGGACTTGTGGTAGGGGAGATGGCACCTTCTCAGCTCTCACCCAAGGCAGAAGGCAGTCATAGCTCAGGGTAGATGGAGCTGGAAGACCCACGCTGGTCTTCAGAAGGACTCCTGCTAAGCTTCTTCAATATTGATGTGTCTCAACAAAATATGTCTACTTCAGCAAAACCAGCATATTCACTTTTTGCTTTTAAAGAATTCTATCAAAAACACAATTAAAAACTCTGCTAAAATTATACTGCAGAGCTTTTTGTGAAGGTGTAGAAATCCACAGAACCTGGCAACAATCTTTCAGTTAAATTTTTAAGAAGAACTCAGTAAACATTCATTTAATAAACATGTTCCAGTACACATAAAATTTTGTTCCTTGGTCCTAGTCCTAGCATTACCTGTATGGAATATAAATTTCTAGAAGAGAAAATAATTATGGTGCATCTGACTTGAGATTCTCTTCACTTTTCATCACCCACAGCTGAAAGTGGCAGTAGGAAATAACAGCGACACCACCAGATTTTTTTCAATTCTCTTCATAAAATTCACTGATTAAAGCTAAGCAAAACTGAATGAAAATATACGGACTTCTCTTCAGACCATAGCACATAATTGAAATGGAATGGACTAACTAGACAGAGAGTTTTCTACTAGTAGGGATGCCTGCTTTTTCTCCACGCACTGATGAACCTATGGCTTAAGATCAACCTTTTCAATGACAGCTGATATCACCAAAAAATCTAGGGAGGAAGCTGCAGTTTTGGTACATGGATCAACAAAACTTTCACACATACATAGCTGCTATTAGAACTTTAGCATCAGTGTGTGTTTTTACTACTCAGTATGACTTTTGGAGAAATATGACTATGTGTGGGAATTAAATTATTACTGAAAATACCTGTAGATACTCTAAAAGCAATCCTAATTTCCAGGTTTCTGAAAGAGAGACAGCATCTGCAGTTTCTTTCTCCTTTACAGGTTAGTCCTTCAACCTAGTGTCAGTTAAAATAGAAGACTACATGGAATGATCCCTGTTAGCACAGAGTTACTTATGTAGGCACACAGAATAAATTAAAAGCTCATTCCTTCAGAGTCATCACCACTTTGAGAGCATTGTAAGAGTTTCTGAGTTTTTTTGAATCTCATGATGGTACTGGATTTCCTTTCCTCTTTCTTATTGGTCTTCCTGTTCTCAGTCTATGAATGGTTGGTTAGTAACCGAGATTTGGACAGATCTAGCTCTTGAGTAAATTTTCATTTCATTTCCCCTGCTCAGGTAACTCCTGATTGGTTTCAAACCTGATATCAGGCAATGGGATGCTCAACTAGTAATGCTTTCTTAAGCTGTGCAAGATATAAACTGGAAAAGGCAGGTGTCCAAGCAAAAAGAATACTGTCCAGAATTACACTACTAGTTTTTTCATTATTAACTCCTCAGTTATATGCAAGGGTTTTTCGGACACACTTCTCAGCTAAGATGAATGTGGTAGTGCAAAGATAATAGAATGTTCACCCTGAAAATATTAGGCAGATAATATTTCATATTGAAACACAATGTACGGTTGAAGTGGCTTTCCTGAATCAAAAGAGAGTCTGCCGATTTCAGATGTGTGCACACACTGAAATCTGCGATAGCATCAGTCATAGCAAAACCCATCGTTCCTCCATGCTGAACAAAGGGAAAAAAATGATACAGGTGTGACATAACAGGGACATAATTCCATAAGCCTGAGGTAGGGGAATGTATTTTATCCAGGGCAGAGCCCTGCTGTGGTTTTCTCAGACAAAAATTACGTTGAGTCACATTTAGAGAATAGGAAGAAATTTCAGCTGATTTTGGAAGTCACTATGGTCTGCAGATCATACTGTTTTCAGATGATTACTAGCAACTCAGAGAAATTAACTCAGAAAAATTAAGTGAAAAACTATTTGCTTCTTTAGGTGATAGTTGTATAAAGAGAAGCCCACCAAAATGAAAACTTCTGATAATATCAATATAGAAATAGAAAGGTTGGATCACTTACAGGATCTCTAGTCTGCTCCTTTAAAGTTGGTCTAGAGGCAAGGGTAGTCTCAGATAGTGTTGTTTGTCTATTATATGGTTTTTCACCATTTCACTAGAGACTGGGAAAAATTAAACAGAAATAATTTGTGTTAATGCCACCCTGCTCGTATGCACCCAATTATAATATTTAGTTTATCTAAATTCACGTATCCAATTCTTACTTCTATTTTAGCTGTTAAAAAGCACTTTAACTCAACATTGCAAGAAGTTGGCAAGGCTTAGTTCTTTCCTCCTCTCCTCAACACATTACTTGCAAGACACAAAAACTTGCAATATCTTACTTTTTTTTTTTTTAAATAAATATTTCTAATCTTACATGAGGGACCTCCCCATCACAACACACTGTCAGTGAATATTCTGAGAATGTTTTATCATTTGAGCTTCCCTTTGGCACCCGACAGTAGGAACACAGATGTTGTGATGTGAAGGAAGGAGCACATCTGCATGTGTAGAGGAAACTGAGTAATATTATTGCACTTAGAAGAAGTCAGCATGATACAGCTCACTGAGGATAGCTACATTCTTGAAGAGCCCTGCCTTTTTTAGTTGACAGGTTTAGCCGTCTGCTCAATTTATGTATGTTTTGGGGTTGTTTAGATCTTTTTGTTTTGTCTTGCCTAAGATTTCTAAACATTAAGCAATTTTGTACAGGACATGGGCACTCTGGGGAATTTTGACTTTGAAACTTTAGTACATGCAGGTGTTTAAGGTAAACTGGAGTTTAAACTGAATTCTCTTGTCTTTCTGTTTCTTCTAAAATGAACACTAATACATGAAGATTCTGTGGGCAGAATAACTTTGTGCCGAGCTGGGTTTTAATATTAGATGTTGCTGTGCAGAGTAATGAGCAGCTCCGTGAATTTTCAAATGGCTGTGTGGGGTTTGCTTCCAGTTAACGTTGTCCTCTCTGTGTTACATCCAATTACTTTGGATGTTTTATAGGCAGTTTTCCCTTCTGCTTGAGCAACAGTTAAAATATGTTCAACACTTACTACAAGATGGTTTGTGTACACACCACATTAGGAATTCCATTTTGGATCACTGACAGTGGATCTCCTTATAAACTGATCTTTTTTGAAAGCTCTCCCCTATTTTATGTTAGTTTTCTACTACAAGGTAAGAAATACTACTGCAGTTGTTAGCATATGTCAAAACATCATATATTTTCAGGTGCTTTCATTAGAATTTGCTGTCGTGTTAATGATTAGGCACATGCCCAGATGGTGATTGTAATTTCCTTACTCATATCAATGAGCTGTTATTCATATGAGTAATCTGACTGACTGTAAATGGATTGCTTTTGTAGCTAACTGCTCCCTTGTGGAAAGGCTGACAATATGGTCCATAGCAAAGCACAGTTAAAAGCCAGCGTCATAATGCAGAACCTTAATTTGCCATCGTCCCATGTGAGCAGCCAGGTAGGAGGCCTAGGTATCCTGAACGCCACATGATAAAACCTATGAAACTAATTCCTATTGACCTGAAGTTATACAGGATCTGCCTCACAGTAGGATAACACCACTATTAATTTATTTGCATTAAGGTGATACAGGGTAAATTTATGTTCCTTTACATTCTGATTAACACTGGTATCATCCTTCCTTCAGATGCTAATTAATGCCTCTCTCGTTCTAAGCAGGACTGTAAAATGGATTTAGGATTCAAAGACCGTAACAACAGGACGCTTACCAAGAACACCTCTGCTGCTACAAAGAATTTTTCTGCCTGGGAAGATTATAAGAGTAGTGTTGATGACATACAGTACTTTCTTATTGGGCTGTACACACTTATAAGTCTGGCCGGCTTTATGGGAAATCTGCTTATACTAACGGCTCTACTAAAGTGCAAGCAGAAGACAATAATAAACATTCTTATCGGTAACTTGGCCTTTTCTGACATCTTAGTTGTGTTGTTTTGTTCACCTTTCACACTGACGTCCGTCCTGCTTGACCAATGGATGTTTGGCACTGTCATGTGCCACGTAATGCCCTTCCTCCAGTGCGCATCAGTTCTAGTTTCAACTTTAATGTTAATATCTATTGCTGCAGTCAGGTACCGCATGATAAAATATCCCCTTTCTAGCAATTTAACAGCAAAGCAAGGCTATTTCTTAATAGTGACCATTTGGGCCCTTGGCTTTGCCATTTGCTCCCCTCTGCCAGTTTTCCACAAAACTGTGGATCTCAGCAAAACTCTGAATTTAGAGGCACTGGAGAACAGGCTCTTGTGTGTTGAGTCATGGCCTTCTGATTCCTACAGAATTGCCTTTACGATAGCCTTATTGTTCATGCAGTATATATTGCCGCTGGCGTGTTTAACCGCTAGTCACACCAGTGTCTGCAGGAGCATAGGTTCCAGACTGTCAAACAAGGAAAACAAGTTTGAAGAAAAGGAGATGATAAACCTAACACTTCATCCATCCAAGAGTACCCGCACACAGGTGCAGCCCTCCAGCCATTCCAGGTGGAGCTGCGCCTTTGGTAGAAGGCACCACAGAAGGTACAGTAAAAAGACTTCAAGTGTGATGCCAGCCATTTCAAGGCATCATCAGGATACTCATTCCAGAGACCTCCCAGAAACCTCTGGCACAGAAAAAAGCCAGCTCTCTTCCTCCAGTAAATTCATCCCTGGGATACCTATCTGTTTTGAGATGAAACCAGAAGAAAATACAGAGATCCAGGACATGATTACGGTATCCCAATCCTTCATCAGAATTAAGACAAGGTCTAGGAGAGTTTTTTGCAGACTGACAGTGCTAATCCTAGTTTTTGGTTTCAGTTGGATGCCTCTTCACCTTTTCCACATTGTGACAGATTTTAATGCCACTCTCATTTCTAACAGACATTTTAAATTAGTGTATTGCATATGCCATTTACTGGGTATGATGTCCTGCTGCTTGAATCCCATCCTTTACGGGTTCCTTAACAACAGCATAAAAGCCGATTTAATGTCCCTTATTCCATGCTGCCAAATACCATGATTTTATGCACCCCAAGATAAAATAAACAAGTTTGGCTTTCAAGCATACTGGCGTGTATAGCTGTAAAACTAAATTAAATTAGTTTAGTTAGTCTGACTTGGTAGTGATTAGTAGCCTTTCATGCGAATGGATAGTTCTATGGCTGCATGTATTTCTTGCGTTGGGCAGAAATATATACATGTACTATAATATTCTTCTAGCTGTTACACGTAGGAAATCATGCCCAGTGTACAAAACCAGAATACCATTTTCATTACCTGAAATATTGGCAATCTGTACTTTGGAATTATACAGAATATATAATGAGTAATAAATGTAAGACTACTTAGACATATCAGTATTAACTGTCATAAAACTATGATAAGATACATGCTGTTTACTAAATAACTGTTGTTGAGACTATTTCAGTGCCAACTTTGACTGTTTTCTAAGATAATTAAACATCTGTTTCTGGATGTGATTAGAAAAATATTTTTCCTTAGCTCTTTGACTCATACTTTGCAGTATCTTTGCAAGATGCTTTGCTGCCGGTTCCCAGATTGCCATATTCCCTGGAATGGGTTGTAGGTAATTGCTCTTGTTTAGATTGTTTCCATCTCACTGTGTTTACCCAGTACAACCTATCTCTGGTTTCCTTAGCCAATTTTTACTCTGCCTTGTCATTTTATGTAATTTTCAGCCAGGCCTGAACTCACATATAGTTATGCCTTTGTTCTTACAGTGATGACTCCCCTGAACATACAACATGCTTCTGATCAGAGTAAGCCTTCATTTCGTAAGTGGTAGAAAAAGAAAAAGAAAATGGAAAGACAGCAGGATTTTTTCTTTTCCCTTATCAGAAAGCAAAAGATTACTGCACTTTATTATAGGTGACCCACTTGCTTTGGAGAGCTGCAACAGATTTTAATTAAACATGCGCTTGTGTGCGTGTGCGCGCGCACACACACACACGCTTTCTGCATCTCCTTCCCCTCTCTCCTTTTCTCCTTTTAACCAGACCAATACTTTTCCTTCCAAATTTTAATCACATGCATCTTCCCTAAGGAAGTCATATACATTTCACAGCACAAATTCAAAGGGTATATATATGTATTCTTTCCACCCTCCCTGGATTGCTCTAACTTAATAACCCATCTCCACCCTCAGGATTCAGTAAATGTACAAAACCTCTGCCCTGAGTTTAAAGCTGTAAAACTTCTCCCCAGGTCTAGCTGGTGATTATTTCCTTTTCTCCACTAAGATTTCTAATCCAATAGGCTTTTTTACATAGCCTTTCCAGGCTGAGAAATAAAGTTATTATTTTTATAAATGGGTGGATGGGAAGGGTCATTGTGCATTTTTTGCCTTGAGGTAGTTCCTTTCCAGTTGGTCTTCAAAAGTGAAAGCTGTTCTTTTATTGTGAGGAATTGTCAAATTATTTTTATCACAATGATACAATTCTGAGACCTTTTCTCCCCAAGCCATCATCTGCTAAGGAGTTTATTACATACCAGAGGGCAATCTCTCTGCTTCTATCATTAAGGTATTTCCCTGAAGTCTAGTCCCCAGTAACCCACTGTTCTTTGTTTTTGCTAGTGATATACTTTAATAGTTTCTTTCTGGACACTGACTATTGCATTTTGCAGATTATTATCTCTTAAAAACCTACAGTATGTCATTTTATAGAGTACAAATGGTACAGAATACAGAATATTGGAACAATAGATTTTAAAATAGCTTTTAAAGAGTTTAAAATAGTTTAATTTAAAAATATTTATAGCTAATCTTTGTATATAAACTTCAGAAAAAAATTAACTAGATCCACAGCCAGAACACAATGATGCAGTTCTACAGAAGTTGCAGCAGTTTACGCCCTATTTATGTCTACATATTTTCAAGTAATTGTAATATATCATTTACCCTTATTTATACCATGTGATGTAACCAAATAGTATAAGAGAATAAGAAAGCAGTTACATTGTTTCAGGTTGAAATATCCCTTCTAGCTTTTTTTTTTTTTCAATTTACTGTTTCTATTTGCTATTTATTTTCTATTTCTTCCTTTATATACATTCAGAATTTCAGCCATTTTTAACTCCTACACTTAGGATTGTTATTAAAATATAAAATAACTGTTTATTCAGTAATTATTCTTTTCAGATCAAATTCTACTCACTTTTACTCTATGTGACACACAGAATCATGCTAGGACTTGATGAAGGCCTTCCTCTAGTTTCTGAGGTGCACAAAGATTAGTCCGTACACTGGAGATTTTACATAAGCCCTATCCATTTTCCTGGATGAAGTCAATAACTGTGCTCCCTACTCTTTACACTGATCAAAGAACAACAAATTGTAATTTGGCAATAGAGAATTAAATCAAGACAGCTACTGAACTTTAGTCCTGTGCTGCCTAAATCTGTTGTCTTCTCTTTTAAGATCAATGGTGGGAGAATGTATATTTTCTTTTTGTTTATAGAGCAATTGTCAGCATTATATTTTGACATCTCCAAAATGTCAGTCTTTCCTCTGCAATGTTAAATAAAAATAAAATAACTTTTCCACCCTCCACCTTTCTTCAATAGCCAGCATAACTTTATCCCAGTATCAGCAAGGAATACATAAGAAGCAGACAGTAGCAATAGCAAGTGAAACCAGGCTAAAGGCAATATCCAAAAGAGTAACTTCTCTGAGTGGGAGAGGAAAAAACTGAACCATCCACTTAACATTTTCCCAGTCTGGAACATTAAGATAAACAAACAAACAAATAAATAAATAATTCAAAACACAAGGATCCCTCCACCCCACGCTTGTTGAGTAGGCCTCATCTGGTTTGAGCTGCAGTAGATGCTCCTGTGGGCTTCATGCACAACAGTGACTGGCAGCGTGATGTTGTCTCCATTATGTATGTCAATATGTCTTGGGAATATGTATCTGACCACCATGTCCAATGACATTTTATCATTCTTCTATGTATACAGGTATATGTACCTGGTATGTGTATAGATATATACACTTCCTAGAAAACAAAGCACATGAAAATGAATTTTCAAATAGCACATTTAATCAAGTCCTTAGACAAGCTATACTACGATGGGTCAATTCCTTCTGTAACTAAAAATCTAAATAAACGGGAAGGTAGGGGTTTTGTTTTGATAGCATCTGCTAAATGCAATCAGGAAATGCCAGCTGCAGAGCCATCTATCCATTGGAGTTAGAAGAATGAAAGATCGTAATGGTGCAGTGATCCGTCTTTATTAATACAAAAAAAGTTTGGAAAAAAACCCTCTCAGACGTGTATGATGAACATTAAAACTCTTACAACGACTCGCATGAGGAAACGTTTATACGTTTTTTTCAGTTCTACAAAATCATATCATTGTCAAACTTGACTTTTTTTAAATGTCAAAGATTAAATGTTGTTAATAGCGGGCTTTTGTCCCTCCTCGTTCAGCGGAGAAAAAACAAACGCCCATTAAGAAGTGCCGGCATGGCTGAGTCACTCCTGAGCCAGCCAGGCCAGTGGGGCCGAGGATGGCAGGAGCTCAGCCTGGGCTAACACTGGAGCAGTATATTTATTTAGGTTGTGGGGAAGAGGTTGGAGCTCCTGTGGTTCTCCATAGTGCCATGGCTGAGGGAGATGTGTATGGCTCCCCTAGGCCTAGAGCGGCTGTAATCACAGCAGGCAGGGCCATCGCGTCCCAGGCAGATGCCCGGGGGCTGGCGCGGGAAAGGCAGCCCTGGGCAGGGCTGTGGGCACGGGAGAGCAGGCAGGGGCACAGCAGGAGAGGAAAACCGCGTTGCCGTTGTATTTGCTGGTGGTTGCAGCCTTTCCCGGAGCCCGGAAGCTCTCGTGACAAAACGTTTCCTTCTCAGCAGCGTCAACGCCTGAGGAAAGGGAAAAAAATAAATCCACCCGTCTGAAGATGTGCGAGGACCAAGAAGAGGAACAGTCAGGAAGAAAAGTGTCCGCTCCTAATCATGCTGAGATAGGCTCCAGCTCTCCCTTTGAGAAGTATAGGACAGGTGGCATGGAAAAAAACTTCCCTACCTAAAGATTATTAACAGGTTAAAAAACCCTTCTGTAATCCACAGTGGTCTGTCAACTATCATTGCACTTTTGAAAAATCAACAGTTTTCTCACAGTAGTCCCAGTATCTGTCTGTGTAGCATACAAGATAAACAGTATTAAATGTCATGGTTCCCTGAAAGACATCCTTCATAAATACTGTTGGATACAGGAATTCAGCCCTTTATTTGGATGAAAACCAAATTATGCCTTTACTATTTGCAGTAAAAATTCCTAGCCAGAAATTATATTGGTACAGTCTGAAAGTCCAGAATTTTTAAGCCTGAGAACTCTCTTAGGTCAGTGACAGGACTCTGGTCCTAGGCAAGTCTCTTTTCCCCCCTACATGACTGAAATAATGGTATAAAATCATGATCTTCATGGAGGACCTTTATAAAGACTATTAGGTAAACTTTTGAACACTTTTTGACCATGATATAAGGTTTATAATCTCTGAGGTCAGGTTTCTTGTTCTTCCATTTCATGTCTTTTTTATATACTTTTGAATCCAAACCCCCCTTTTTTTCTAAGGCATGTTACATGCAGCATGTAATGAAGACTCCTGAAGTTGCTTGGTTTTCATCCAACAGTATATATTTTTTATTGGAGGTATATTTAATTGGTTGAAAGTTGCCTTTCCACTGAAGGTAGGTAGAACTGCTGTTATTATTCATATTCAGCTGAAGTGACTTTTGACAGGAAGAGAAACAAAAGACAGCAAGAGAAAGAGAAGCATACTCACACTGACGCTAGCTAGCCATATTGTGCCAGTGACAAAGGAACCTGTCAGAGCCAGACCCTTCTCAAGTATCTGCCAGGGACAAAGAGCTTGTGACAGTACCATTGAACTTTGCTAATCCCACGTGTGGCCAGAAAATCTATTGCAAATTTTTCAATCTTAGAAGTGAAAGCTAATAAATGAGTATGGATACACATGCTCTTACCCTTCTCAAAATGTTTCTTTAAAGCAAAGGCATTTTCTTTCCAACAATTTGATAATGACATTTTTGTCTGTGATCACTCATAAT